GGGATTTTCATGCCTGCTCTGTTTTTCACCCCCCCCAAACTTAAATATTTGAAAAATAATTTTTTAATAGAGAAACAGTTTAACATGAGGTTTTTGATCATCCTTTTGTTGTTGGCAAAGAATGCAGGTAAGGGAGCTTAAAATTCATAGAAAATATCCATATAAAATGCTATTGGAGACTGCTCTCTGGTATTCAAAGTGTGTTTGAGATCCCTGGTGTCAGAGAGGTGAGGCCATCAGCTGTCCATGCCTGCCTTGCCAGAGGTTGCCAAGTGGGCCATGGTTGAACAGGCACATGAGCCAAGAGATCCCACTTCTGCTCTCATAGAAGTTTGGCTGAGTTACTGTGTGATTTTTAAGCAGCTTGTGCTCCTTTTATGCCTCAGTTTCCCTACCTATGGACCTGGGCTTGTAGCCTAACAAAGGAAAGAATAATGCATTGATGCTTGCAAGGCACTTGAAAAGTGTTAAATGGAACATGGTTAAATGGAACCTCTGCAACATATGTGGATTAATTAACCATCAGAGATCTGCTGGTTTATTAGGAACCTTTCAGAGATGTGCCTTCTCATTAGCCTGGTACAAAACAACCCACAGTGGGAGGGAACACGTTGCTTCAAACAAGGTTCAACTTTCAGCCAATTTAATCTTCATCTCAGTGACAAGCTTCTGAATCTTCATTTAATTATAGTTCCTTAAATGTCTTCTGATATCATATCTCAATCTCTCTTTTCTGTGCCTTTTTATGGTTCCTTTTTTGTTGTGGACCAGAGGAATAGATACTTTTTTTTCCAGTGTCCATTAAAATTCCCTTTGCCTGCAGTGCAGTGTGCTCTATAAAACAGATCAACCTGCTGCAGGTGAAATAAGCTGATGCTGCACTGTCTTTTTTAGAGCAACAACAATCATTATAGATTATTTTTCCAAGTGTCACCAATCTCCTTCAAAGCCACGAATGACTGTTATCAATTAATATACTTAATAATCTGATTTTCAGTCCATGTTCAGGCCATACAGGGTCTGTGCTCACCCCAGCAGAGGCTTAAAAGCTTTGCCTGTCAGAGAGAAAATGTTACCTTGTGTGTGATGGGGGTGATGAGGGAGGTGATTCAGGAGCAGAAAGATGTGTTAAAGTGCAGCACCTGAGGCCTTCTTGTTTTCTGAATTTACAGTCTCAGGCTGGCAGTCGTATAAATGAGTGATGCTCTCTGATGTTCTCTTCCAAGCAGGCTGTGGAATTGGCAGGGAGTCTTCAGTTTTGTGCTGATGTGTCCAGAATTCAAATAATTTGATTCTTGGGTATAATGACAATTGGAGGCACAGTATTACCTTGAGAAAAAGAGATGGGAGAGACAGCTTCTGTATCCTGTGTCAAATTAACAACCAATTCCCATTTACTCCCTCTGCTGAAAACTCTATTATGCAGGGTTCTTATTGTCCTTATTCAAGGGCATGGAATTAAAAAAACTGATACTGATGGTAATGCCCTGATCTGCCTGCCCTGACATTGAATAATGGGGACAAAGAAGGGAAATCTTGACTGATGATAAGCCTTTTAAAATACTGCTGATATGGAAAACATATAAAGGACAAGGCATTGGAATATCAGCTGATGAAGTCATATTCAGCATTACTGTGCTTTCTGCCTAGGCCTCTAAATGTCTTTGCTTTTATTTTTGCTATTGTTTTTGGAACATTTTCTTTTCTTGTGATTTCAGGAGAGAGTCCTCACATACTTGAGAGGAGGACAGAGGTGAAGTGTTGGTTGCACGAGTTCCGAGAGGAATCTGTTCTTTCTCCTCCTGGATCCACAGAGCAAGAGTTAGGAATCTGGCAGGGAGAAGTCCACCAACAGACTGGTAGAAATGCACAGGTAGAGTAACACCACTGTTCAAGTGGATGCTCTTCTTCTGGCCCAAGCTGTCATGTTCCAGTTCATCATGTCTGAACCTCCCTGCTGGTCTTAAAACAGCAACGTCCACTGTGCACCCTGCCTTTACAAATACATACATTTATGTTTCAAAATGTGTTTTCCTGTAGAAGTGATACCTTACACTAAAAAATGAGTGCATTTCCACTAGGAAGTTCTAAATGATGCTTTACAGAAGAAGTGACAATATCTTCATTTTGCAGGCTGGCAACTTAGTAGATGTTCATGGAGCTGTAAGGGCTCCTCGGGCCTGCTCCTACAATGGTGCTGTTGAGGTGTATTTTTTCAGGCAAAGGAGAAAGGGTGAAAAAAGAGGGACTCTGAGAAAGACATGACAATGACATGTCAGGACAGAATGATGTGGAAAGCTTGAAAAACATCCGTCATGAAGCTCTTGGTACTGATTCAGAGCTCATTGTGTAGCATCATGGTTACATCCTGTGTGAATTAACAGGGACACTGAGACTTCATTTCTAGCTGGACCAAATATTTGCAAGGAGCCACTGAGGGTGCAGAGAGATGATAGTGCAGTTTCCTTAGCTACAGAACCTGCTTGCCTGTGCTGGCAGGGATACGTTTTATGCTAAGAATGATAATTAACCAGCTGCCTGTGGCCTGCAGAGGTCAGCAGATCACTTGAGAAGAGCCGCCTCGCAAAGCCCTGAAGCTCTTGTTTTTCAAGCGTGGTCTCATTATGTAGAGATTCCAACTTGACTGGTACTAAGATGTAAAGGATTTGTCCCCAGTGCTAGTTGTGACAACAAAAGTGAGAAAATAAAAAAGACCTCTCAGAATATTCTTTGTAAAATGCAAACTTGACACTGGTTGGTGCTGCCACTTGGATGAGAGAACCCTGAGGTGACAAGTTTATTGGAAATAATCAAATAGATGTCCATATGCTTAGGTTCTGTTCCTTGCATGTGAGTACTGACACGGTGAATGGACATGCCAAGTGGACTCCCAGACTTGTTTAGCTGTGGTATGAGCTTCATTTATTCAGTGTGTTTGAAAACAAGGTGCAGTTGTAGTGACACCAGCGTAGAACCAGAAAATATACAGAGATGGGAAACAGCCCATCAGAGGTGCAAAACAGCTTTCATGCAAGAAGGAACTTAGACTGTTCATCTCAGAAAAAACAAGTTGGAGGAAGAGAAGTCTCCAGGGGGACCTTATTCCCACCTTTCAATACTTAGAGGGGGCTTTTAAGAAAGATGATATGACAAGGGGTGATGGTTTTAAAGTAAAACAGAGGAGATCAGACTAGATATAAAGAATAAATGTTATATGATTAAACTGGTGAACCACGGGCTTAAGTTGCCCAGACAGTTGGTAGATGCCCCATTCCTGAAAACATTCAAGGTCTGGTTGGACAGGGCTCTGAGCAACTTGATCTAGTTGAAGATATCCCTGCTCACTGCAGGGGTGACTAGATGACCTCTAAAGGTCCCTTCCAACCCAAACTATTTTGTAATTCTATGATACAGGTCTTTAAAGTCAAGAATAGTGGGGGGGGAAAAAAAAAAAAGGTGATAAGAAATGACCTGTCATTATCATAGAATCACAGAGTGGTTCGAGTTGGAAGGGACCTTAAAGATCATCTCTATCTCACTATGGTGGTCAACCAATTAAGTTACCAGGCAACAGGTTATGAAATAAGCACAGCATAGAATTAACCCTTGAAAATCATTGCTTTGAGACGATGAAGCCCAAAGAATTAAACAAAAGGACTAGGCAAACTCACAGAGAATGGGTCTAGGGGTCAGTGGGAGGCAGAGGGATCTGAAGGCAAACTGACACAAGGTTTGGTTGGACCTTTCTGCAAGCTGAAAAAGCCTCATGTGGAGGTCAGTACTTCTTGCCTGAACACCCAGTACTTGTCTCTGTGGGAGTAACATACCAAATGTCCACTGCTGGCTGACCAGAGTACTTCTCATGTTCTTAATGTTGCTACAGTGCTGAGAAAATTACTTCTCCTTAAACAGCAAGTGACAACAGTCAGTGTAGGAAAGGCTCAGACCTTAATTCTTCCTAAATACCATCAAGTATTGATTTGCTCTAGTGATATTATACTCGATTCAATGATCCAGAGCAAAATCGGGATGAGCTACTGTTCTAGGAGACCCTAATCTTACATGATCTGATCTCCTCTGAGATCAGATAGGCTCTATCTTTGTTGCCAAGTAGCACCCAGATGTATTTCTCTGTGGGTCACCAGCCTTAAAACCTCCTCATAAACACCAAAGAACATCAGTGTCACACAACGCTATCTAATTATTTGTCCTACAACAATATCTGATTTTTCCTTAGCATGAAGAACTAAGAACTCTAGAAGGCTTCTTGAGACCTCAGTGTTCTCACACTACTGCTTTGAATCTCAACCTGAAGTGAACCCAGTAGGCAGCAGCTGTAGACCAAGTGTAGAAACAAAAAGATAAAATACAAAATACAAACAAAAAGTAAAAAAAAAAGAAGTAACAACACTCAAATCTTCTGTTATTTTTATTAAAGCTGCAGAGTTTTACTACACACAACAAATATTTTATTGATATAATCTAAGTTAATAAAATAGTTGAACAACTCTTTAAATTTATATTTGTATAGAAATGATCTGTGGAACATCTCACCCTTAAACAGCAGTGCCTGAAAATGAGAATTCAGGAGGATTTTTTTAAAGAAAAGTTTGGGACTAGAGGATGCACTGTTCATTCTCAAAGAAAAAAAAAAAATCCATGCAAAAATAACTCCCACCCTCTTCCCACCTTTTTTCCTACCCAGAGTGTAAGGCCCTTCAGAATGACCATGTGATGGCCCTTTTCTTCCAGTATTCCTCCTCATGTCTACGTCGGGAGCTGTTGTCTAAACTCAGTAACTAAAGCAGGATTTTTTTAAAGAAAAGTTTGGGACTAGAGGATGCACTGTTCATTCTCAAAGAAAAAAAAAAAATCCATGCAAAAATAACTCCCACCCTCTTCCCACCTTTTTTCCTACCCAGAGTGTAAGGCCCTTCAGAATGACCATGTGATGGCCCTTTTCTTCCAGTATTCCTCCTCATGTCTACGTCGGGAGCTGTTGTCTAAACTCAGTAACTAAAACAAGACAAAAAGCAAATTCAATTGCACAATCCTAGTCTGCAGGTGACAAAGTCATCACATCTCTTTACAGAAGTCCCTATGTTGTTGATTTTTTTCCAGTTGGGAGAACGTGTCATCCCCTTGGGTTTGTTCCCCAGCTCTCGCCTACGTGGCGGACGTCAGTTATTGTCCATACACCTTTGTTAAGAGAAGTCAGCCTATCTACTAGTGCTTCCATCTCCCTTCTTCACCTAGGTGTAGTTTAGATTCTACATAGCACTGCCTGAAAAGGGCTGACTCCGTGGTGTTTTCCCCCCATTTAGCCAAAGCCCAAAGCTCCAGTGATGGTCTCCTCACTGCACCTACGCAGCGGTGTCACCCATGAGATGTCTTTTGTAGACCACGGAGTCATGTCTTTGCTAGATCATTCCATTTAACTTAGTCCACTCGTAGATGTCCTGTTCACACACTATGTCTGAGTTGATGAGGAGGTATCTGTCCCCAACACAGAAATGTTTCTGGCAAGCAGCACATTTGAAGCATTCGAGGTGATACACTTTGTCCTTCACCCTCATGGTCATCTCGTAAGCCCGGATTCGCTTGTCGCAGGAGGCACAAAGGCCATCTTGGCCAAAGAGCCTGAAACAACAACAGCAGAGATGTAAGCAAAGTTCCTCTGCTGGGGACATGGGAAAAACCAAATCAACACAAGAACACAACATCAGGGCCTCGATCCCTCAGTCACAGCATTGCCAGGTTACACAGAGCTCACCTGGAAAGCTGCCGAGCAGAACTCTAAACTTTGCAATACCAGAAATTGAAGTAAGAAGTCCAAGGTCCTCAACTATTTTCAATATAATTGACTTATCTGATCAACAACCTTAGTGAGCAGCTTCAGGATGAGTAAAGGTTCCCCAGACCACAGCATAAAGTTGTGCTGTACTAATAATCCCACTGCTGTGACCACTGGAAACAACCTTTCCACTGGTGAATTTTGCCTGTCTTCAGCTGTTAGTCTTGTAGTTCACAGAAAGGAGTTAACACAAGCCATGGTCTCCCCTGTCTCTTGTTGTTGCTTCCACATTGGAGATTCTTTCCAACTCAAACATCCATGAAATCACTCCTGGTGGGTTTCAGATGGATACATGCTAAGACCTTCTAGATGCTTCTGCTAGCCCAAGCAATTTTATGACCTGGATTGCTCTGTAATACGACCTGGACTTCTCTTTAATCCAAACTGACAAACCCTGCTGAGCTCACGATGGTGTTGTCTACAAACTAGACATCTATTTCTTGTACAAAGTAGACATCTATTGAGTTGACTTCTAAGTTTTCATATTAATTCTGGAAAGAGTTTTTCTACCTCCTACACATCTCTTAGCTGTGCTGTGCCTGCTTCCTGGCATCTTCTGAACTGCAAAAAACATCCACTAAATTGAGGTCTTTAAGGTGAAAATACACCGTTTCTTTCATCTACCAGGAGATGTCAGTGTTCACTTCTGCCCAACGAAAGTAATGCTAAGGTTACACAAAGGTTGCCAATTTATTCATTAATAAGGGAAGATATTCTATTTTGTATTATTACACAAATAAAAACGTTGATTAATCCACTGCAAGAAACTGCATTTTAAGATGAAAAGTATTTGGAAAGTATAACTAACACTGGATCACTGCTGGGTGTTATGTATGCAGAGTGGCCCCATTAGCAAAAATCAGTCCCTAGTTTCTGCTTAGCAAAATTCCCACCAGTAATTAGGAACTCCACTGATATTTTGATTTAGTTTTTATTAGCCTAGCAGAAAAAATATCAAATTGTGGCACCACAGACCTCCTGACATGTTAGGGATGCACTGGAAGAAATGGTACCCAAGCAGTACTGCACAGGTTAATGCACTTTAATTGTAATTAAAAATGTAAAAGTCCTTTGTTATCAATTTTTTGTGGAATATCTTAATCTTAATTTAATCCTTCTACTTACAAATTTTGGCAAAACAGGCCAGCAGATGTATGAAAAAAAGTTTGTCATGGGGGTAACTGCAGGGTCTGACTGAGCAAAAGGGGTAAATTCTTGTCTATTCAAAACATTAAAAATCTACTGGGTCCCACTCAGTGCAGTCCAACCCCCCTGTGCTGGCTGAGGCTTTGCAGTCAGTGTACAGGACATTGCCTCTTTCTGCTGGAAGTGTCCCAGAGAACTTTACCAGGGATGCAGAAAAAGACAGGGATCAATGGGTGGATACAAAAGGCAGGGAGTGCAGCCCCAGGCAGGTACAGCAGCTCTGCTGGCTTCTGGGATGGAGCATCTCTGCCAGACCCCATGGATCTGCATCAGGAAAATGAATTGAGTGTAGTTACCTTGGATACTGTGTCCTGAAATGAGAGAACTAAATGATCCCTCATCAGTCACTGATCTTGGCACCTGGTTTCAAACACCTTCCAGCTCCAAGGCAATGCTTGGAGAAGCACAGAACTTCTTAAAACCATTCAGGGGAACCAGTTCATTGGCAGCTCAGGGGGATCTTGCTGAAATTCATCACCTTTTTTCCCATTTCCACTTGCCAGAATCCCACGCTGACACTGCTTAGCCCAGAGCTATCAGGTAATGTCTGTGCACACCAATGAACACCAACAACCCCAAAGTCCTGGGAGGTCTTACTATATCCTTCACAATCTCAAGTAATTCCTTTTTTGCACAAAAACATGTAGCAACACTTTCATTTTCATTTAAAATGCCTTTTTCTTTTCCAAAAAGAATTTTCACATTTAACCTATAAACAATTCTAAGTGACCTAATCAACACAAACAGCCTTTGGATTTATCTATAACTGAGGAACCCCAGCAGAACCATGACATGTGAACCCCACAAAATATATGAGCCCATATTGTGGCTCATTTATGGTATGGGCCACCTTCTTATTTTTGGAGAACAAGTCTTATGAGGAGTGGCTGAGGGAACTGGGATTGTTTAGTCTGGAAAAAAAGGAAGCTGAGGGGAGACCTTCTTGTTCTCTACAACCTCCTAAAAGGAGGCTGAAGGGAGATGGTGGTTTGTCTCTTCTCCCTAGTTAAAAGCAACAGTAGAAGAGGAAATGGCCTCAAGTTGCACCAGGGAAGGTCTATACTGGATATCAGAAGAAACTTTTTCACTGAAAGGGTTGTCAGGCCCTGGCACAGGTTGCTTAGGGAGGTGTTTGAATCACCATCCCTGGAAGTGTTTAAAAGCCATGTAAATGTGGTGCTGAGGGACATGGGTTAAGCATTGGACTTGGTAGAGTTGGGTTAATGGTTGGACTCGATGATCTTAGAGGTCTTTTCCAAGCAGAACCATTCTGTGACTGAGAGAGGTTGATTCTCTCAGGGAATGAGGGAGAATGATTCCATGAACCTGAGCTAGCAAACAGTGCAGGCCTACAACTGCAGCTACTGCTGGGCTTTGGGCTGCAGAGCAATCAGAAAGGAATGCTTGCTGGCTCTCTGCTCACTGCCTCTGCTAATTAAAGGACTAAGTAAAGCTGAAGTGTCGGCAAGAAGGGGAGCGAGGGCAGAACGAGTGCGTCGCGTACCTGAGATAGTCCCTCCTGCAGAGCTTCCTGCCCAGCTTGTAGTACAAGCGCCTTCCCACCTCCCCCAGCCGGCAGCCGCAGAGGTCGCAGCTGAGACAGTCCTCATGCCAGTACTGGTCGATGGCCTTCAGGAAGTAGCGGTCCCCGATGTTCTGCTGGCACCCGCCGCATGTCAGCAGCGAGGGGGGGATCTGCAGGACCTCATCCACCGGCTCCCTGAAGGAATGAAAGAATCATTGGAGAAGGAGCGTGAGCTCTGAAAGCAGCCAAACGAGGAGGAGGAAAAACGAAGCACGAGGCTGGGCAAGTTAGAACAGGGACTACATCCTCATCTATTTATTTTAACCAGCAGATTGAAAGTGATTGATCCTTCTAAGGTCAGGAGCAGGACTTCACTCTTCCTTTGCTTTAAAAAAAAAGGAGTTAAGGGTATCTCAAAAATTGGCAACTTTTCGTTATTAGTATTTTTTCTTCAAAGAACAGTGCATAAACAAGCCAATCTCTGCATCACCCCTGTGTATTCACTACTGTAAAGGTATTACACCTTTGCTAGGATGTTGGCATCTACCTGTGGAGATACATCATTTTTCTTCTACTGCTCAGCAAGTGAACTGCTCAGTCATGTGTCTCAGCCCATGCAGTTCTTTTATAAGAACCTTTCCCATAACATGATTCCTAGAATTAAAGACTGTGCTTCTTCAAAAAGACAATCAAAAAGCTGCTGGGATTCACCATTTCACAGAAAGGCTGGTTATGTCTGTGCAGACTGACAGATGCCAACAACCTCTAGTCCTACAACTTCTTACTATATGCTTCACAATTTCAATTAAGTCTCTTTTGTCCACAACACACAGCAATGCTTTCATTTCCCTTTAAAAATGCACTTCTTTTTTCCCAACAAGATTTTGAAGATTTACCTATAAACAACTTGAAGTGACCTAGTCAACACAGACAACCTCTACACTTATGTATAACTTACCAAATAACCCCAGCAGTACCATAAAGCATCTGTGCAGGAACCCCAAAATATATGAGCCCATCTTGTAGACCTGAGCTTGCAAGCACTGGCTGCAGTGCCACTGGGAAGCAAAGGGAATTCCTAGCTCACCAAGGGCCAAATGACCAGAAAAGGCACCTGAGGGATTTTACATGCAGCCAATTTTCCATTGGGAAATGTAAATTTGAAGACAAAGTCAGGAGGTGTCATGTCCCTGAACAGCATGAAATGAATAAATACAACAGATGAGACTGCTGCCCAGCTGGTTTAAGTTGGGATTATTTTGTTGTTGTTGTTTGTTGTTTTGTCTTTTTTTTTCTATTCTACCTCATTAACTAGAGGACTTCTTTTTTTTCCTGCAGCTAAGGACATGAACCCCCTGGGATGGGTCTGCACCAACATAGCTCAAACCATTATTTGGGATTTAAACATCCCTGCATGAAAAGAGGCACAAATTTATTTATTGTGATTATTAGCACTGACTATCCATGCATGGGTATTTTTTCCCCCTTTTTAAAAAGCTCTGCAATCTAGGATGGTTCTGGTAATAACTGGGGATAAAGGAAGAATTTTCTTCAAAGCTGCTTTATTAAGGAATTATTTTCTTTGCCTCTTTGTGGAGTTATATAAGTTCTGACCAAAAAAACCCAAACAACCAACCCACCAAATAAAAAGAAACCCAGCACAATTTAAAAGGAAGTTGCCTGAGCTCAGTTCGGGGAGGTTTGCCATGACCTGGTGCTGCCATCAACTCCAGGGAAGTTCATAAAAGACCATTGAATCAATCCTTTAAGCACTTGCTTAATTTGAAATGTGTGGCTACCAACACGTGTGTGGCTACCAATGTGTGGTGGCACATTTATGCTTTGCTGGATGATGACTGAGGTGGTCAATATCTGGTAGAGTGGAGCCCCAGATTTTTTCATATGTTATTGGGCTATCACTGTAGCACAAAATCCCTCAGAGCTTTGTTTCTGTCATGGTTCTTAGGCTGGTGGAGGCAGAGGAGACCTGCACTGCTAGAGAAGGATCAGGCTGTTCCCAGTTTCTAGCAAGCAACAGGAAAAATTGTATTACTACTGCTTATTTACTAGGTCAGCAGTTTTCTGGGCAAAAAAATCCTTTCTTCAGCAAGAAGAAATGACCACTGGACAAGAACTGTGCTGAGAAACTGATCCTGCAGTTTTCATTTAGGCAAGCTGAGCCCTGGGATATTATCTGATTATATTCTGTTCTGGTTTTCACTCTTCTCAGATTCAACTGCTGTGCCCTAAAAGTTGTGCTAAGATCTCTCACCTATCAGCTCCCTGTCCTGTGAGCTTTCATTAAAATCACAAGGAACTCAGGGTGTGATTAGGCCTTAATTTCTCAAAGTTTATTCTTTTGGGCCCCACGCTGCCTTTCCTAACACATGGGCTCTGCTCTGACAAGTTCTGAGACCCTTCCAACGGATGGAAATACACATTATTATCCTTTATTACCCCTTATTTGAAACTTCAGGTGCAGCCCAACATATTCCATCTTATGGGTGTGCAGGAATCCCAAGCCAGGTCTCTCTGAAAGCCCTGAACTCCGGAACAGCCTGGCGGATGTTTATGCAGAACAGAACTGCTGGTTTATGCATTAGCTTTTTGATGTCCATAAATTTCTAAGCCAGCACTTAAGTCACTCAAACACAAGGTAGGTAAATAAAGATTACTAACATTTTGTACTTGAAACCTGGAGATCATATGCCTAAGAGACTGGATGATCATTTCTAAAAGAACAGAATAAAATAAGAGGAAATGTAACATATAAAACATGGGACGTGACATGGAATGAATTGATTTAATCCCCTAAAGAAACAGGTCCCATGTGTTCTCTCTGGGCTCCAAGAGATGGCATTTTTGGTATCTCACAGGAAACAAGTCACGAATGACTCAAGTTTATTAAGAGTTTGAAGCGTTATCTGAAAATGGAATTTTTAGAATATTTTTTATCTCCTCTTATCATGATTCCAGAGGAGTAGAACTGCAGTTGTTAGCATGTACGGGGCTGAAATGACTCTGTTTTGCTGCCCGTGGCTCTTGGCAGCAGGCTGCCAGCACGGAGGGCTGAGGAGCAGAGCTCAAAAGCTGGGATCAGGACACGACAGCTGGTCCCTTCCCCGAGTGAGAAACCCAGGGAGGGAAATTCTCACCTTCTACAACCCGTCCATCAAGTCTTTATCCGTGCCCTTTGCAGGACACCCTGCCCCCACCAAAGCAGTTTTTACAAGCCCTTGAAAGTTGCATTATGAAAATGTGGAAGTTGGGCACCCGCAGATAACAGCCCTGACCTTTCACTACGATGGGCTGCAGCGAGTCGGGCAGATCAAGGATGGGGCAGAGATGGTCCCTCGGAATGAAAAACCCCTTCAGCCTTGGGAAGCGGGATGCTCTCCCGAACCCCGAACCCCTCCCAGCACCACCGGGTGGGATGAGCGGGTGGAAAACGCCCTGCCCGGGGAGCTGGGGGCTGTTTTGCCGCCTCGCTGTCCCCGGAGGCTGCTCCCGGCTGGTCTTTCCCACAACTTGGGGAGCTCTCATCAACCTACAGCGCCCACCAACATCCCCCCCGGGGGGGGCGGGGCCGCCGCCCGCAGCAGGGGAGGCAGAAGGGGCTGGGGCAGCCCGGGCGCCGGTGAGTGGTGCCCGCTGCTCCCGGTGCTCGGTGCCCACTGCCCTCGGTGCCCCCTGCTCCCGGTGCTCGGTGCCCATTGCCCTCGGTGCCCTCTGCTCCCGGTGCTCGGTGCCCCCTGCTCCCGGTGCTCGGTGCCCACTGCCCTCGGTGCCCCCTGGACCCGGAGCGCGGTGCCCCATGCATGCCGTG